GTGTGTGTGTGCGCGTGTGTGTGTGTGTGTGTTGGATTATTTTTTTATATGCAGATAAGAACCTTGCTCAAGTGGATATTATAATAAAAAACAGTATTATAATCTTTATATGCTAGGTTTTTTTTTATTAGTTATACATACTATTGACAAAATTTAATTCCTAAATTATTCGCAATAAGTGGTTAACTGAAATATGTAATAATAATTCCGGAAAATGATAACATTATACTATAACATTATACTATAATAAATGTTATATGAGATAAAAATTTCGTTCTTGACCGTAATTCTTCAAAACCTCAGCTTTCCATTTTTGTTTTCTTTATTCAGAACTTGAGTGATTTTAATAATAAAAATGATATGGCCAAATTAATGCATTTCAGTAATAGCAGAGCTCTCATTTGTGACGATTACCTATCGACAGTTATTTTGGTTGGCCATGAAAAAAAAAATGAACGAGTGCTTTTCCGGCAAGTACGAGACAACAGATGGCATATTATGGCACAAATTGCAGATAGCTTTAATCAAGGTGAAAGAAAAGATGCACAATACACAATACATTAATAATTATTATGGGCATGTGCTACTGAAAATGTCTTCAAGAGGCACGTGACCCTCGGAACTGGAACTTATGTCCATAGAAGATGAAAGGAACGTAACACGTATGTCTTTATCCAAGGGTGTTCATAACAAGGAAGACTATATGAAACTATTAAACGGTGGCGGTAATGAGATTGTGTGTGCAACTTTATGCTGGAAAACATTTAGTCCTATCATTTTTGTGGGTGATACTTTTTGCACATCGCTAAACTCAGTATATCTGAAGATTAGGTACAAGCTTCCATAGCAACACCGCACGACGATGGAAGTGGTATAATTTATCTAAGTAATTCGCCGTGACACTCGACCCAGCTTGTAAACGGATAATTTCAGAAAAAAGAAATTCTTACTGTGATGCACTGGCCATATTCATTCCTGATCTATTCCATTAGACATCTAGTTTTTTTCCCCCGAGAACTGTTACTTTGCAGAGCTTTGCTTCCCTGAACAATAAAACGTTAACCTTTTTAAGTAAAAATTCACTCGTTATATCCTCCTTATCCTCATAATCTTAACTTCCTACCATTCACTCTTCCATTTATATCACACATCAAATTCGGTAAAGCTCTATCTTGAATAGCTATTGAGGTTCCTATTGTGGCGAATTTTAGTTTACATTAAAGAAAGTCTCAGGGGATAATAAGAACGATTTTAAAACGTCAAACTCGCAACGTGATTATCAATTTGGGACTTCGAGATTCATAACATTTCTTATAAATTGATACCATCTGTCTGCTTCTGCACAGAACAAGCTTCCGTCTTAATTGCACAGATATTGGCATCATTCATAACAAGACCTTTACTTTCAAAGTCTTTTATATATCAATAAAACGTGAACATTCTAATAATGTGACAGAGAGTATTATATATATATATATATATATATATATATATATATATATATATATATAAAGAAATAACAGTAAGATATATAATCCGGTGTTCTTATAGATATTTTTTTTATTTTTACAAAATAGTGCTCAATGTAAATTTACAGAGCATAAATATTATAAATTAAATTAAAAGCATTAGTTCTGTTTCATCTTCAAGCAAATTTTGGAATCCCAAAAAATACAAAATTCGCATGCAAAAATAATTAATTGAATTCAATTCAAGAAAAATATTCGGATTACTAAAACAAAAACAGAGAATGTCTCATATTGAGAATATTTAACATTGAAAAACATAAAGGAAAAAAATTAATACTTTTTAATATGTGGAAATCACCGCTTTTACCTGAAGACGGTCGCGAGACCCGAAACACGTGTAATAAAATATGGCGCCTCGATAGTATCTTCTTAATATTTGTAGGTGCAGGATATTGTTTGTGTGAATCGGCATCTCTACCACGTCCCATAAATACTTGATTGAGCTCATGTCTGGTGAACGTGATGGCTACACCATTCATCACTGTCCAAAACACCGGCGAGGAGTGTGAACCGGATAATTGAACCTATCTATTCCTATATGTGTATGTATATGTATGTATGTAAGTAAGTAAGTATGAATAAATGAAGGAACCCCTAGAGAATCCAACTATATGTGTGTGTGTGTGTGTGTGTGTGTGTGTGTGTGTGTGTGTGTGTGTGTGTGTGTGTGTGTGTGTGTGTGTGTATTATTTATATATTGTATATGCCCGGTACTTATTAGAAAGCGCTTACTATCAGTGATAGAAATAACATACTTATTTGGATTGATGTGGGTTTGTGACCCTGGGTTTCACTCACTTGCGATCGTCAGACAAATTTTTTAAAATTTTGGATCTATTTCTGTCAGTCTCTATTTTATGTTTGGTAATGTTTGATGGTAATGGGGGTTAAAAAAATTCTCCTCTCTGTCCGTTTCGGGATGTCATTCATACGTACTCAGACATACATGCATGTTGGTGTACGTAGTGTAGTTCACACAAATATATGTAATATATGAACAGTTTAGGACTGGGCGCAAACATGTATCCATGTACCATAGTTGTTTTCGGTGTTGAAATTGTGTAGCGAAGTTGCCTCAACAAGACGCGGGCTGGCGGGGTTCCTGTCATCTTTCAGATTGTTCGTTTATTTTGTTAACGGAATAATATTTCCTTTTTTTATCACATACACATACACGCATGTGTACGTGTACGTACATTTCTATCCGTCAGGGTTTTGCGTTACTTGAAATGGATTCTGTATAAAATTATGAGAGATATTTTTTTTAACGTTGCTTACTTGCATGTTATAGACGATTACACTTACATAAATAGTAGAAATTCTAATTTATAAAATACTTATTGATATTTTTTACGGAAAATTGGCACTAATTTTGATGGAGAATGGGAGTATAATTGTAAAACAATGTGGCGATGGTAATTATGGTAATGGTGAAATAGTAAGAATGAAATAATAATTACAATACTGGAAGCAATGACAATGGTAGACTATAGTAATGACAATTGGGGTATTGGGATTGGTGTGGTAATAATAGTGGTAGTAAAGGATAATGGTAATAACAGTGCTAGCAGCAAATAATTATGGTAATAATAGTAGTAGTGATGATAACAATGGTAGTAAAATGATAGTAATAATAGTTGAAATAAATAATTAATGGTAATATCTTATAATAAAATGAATGATAAATTAACAATTAAAAATTGGAGTAGTAAATAGATAATAAATAAATAATGATTGAAGAGGTAATAAATAATTATAGTGATGGTAACAACGAAAAATATAATGAATGAAATAGAAAATAAAAGTGGTGATAACTAAGTAATGACAATAGGTGGTGGTGATGGTAATAAATAAATAATGAAAATAATAAAAACAAAGGCAATGGTAAAAAGTAGAACGAATCTTGTGGAGGAGGTGTATGAAGTGATAATAATGGTAGTAGATACAGTGTAACCCGGATATAAGAGACCCGGATATAAGAGAAACCCGGATATAAGAGAGATTTTCTCTGGTCCCAAATTAGAGCCTGTGTTAATGTATATAAAATAGACCAAACCCGGATATAAGAGAAACCTAGATATAAGAGACTTCTCCAGTCCCGACAACTCTCTTATATCCGGGTTATACTGTATTTTGCTGTAGGTAGATACGGTAGTGGTGACAATATTTATGGATTCTGTACAAAGTAGTCGTTGTAAAATGGTGTTGGGGTGTTAGTGTTTTATCGCCTCGCATCTATAGGGGTGAGGCAGTAGTGCCGGTAAAAATATCGATCCGTGTTACTTGGTATGTTTTGTTTTTGCTTTTTGTTGTATTTTTTTGTTTTTGTTTTTTTTTTAGTTATTATCCGTTTGGTATCACTTGTGATAAGACATTTTTTTTCGTGTTTGCAATTTGAAATTATTTCTGATCTTATGTTAAGTACTCTCTTTTGTTGGGTGTGGAAAATCATTGCTACTTTTTCGTGTATATAAAGTAGGCATTTCTTTGTTATGTTGTTGTACGCAAATGCATTTTTCAGGATTTCACAGCTTATTTTTGGTGTGATGTTTCAGTCTTTTAGTTGCCATATGTATATGGGTTGATTAGTGCTGTGTGAATATTTTCTATTGGAGAATGAGGGGTCATAGTTGTATTTTCGTGGCTTTAATGGTCCGTTAGTGGCACTGATGTAGTACATTGAATTGTCTGCATTTACCTTGACTTTATATATTATGTTCGTTTGCTAGCAGTATCCTTGCAGTGGGCAGGTTGTTTTATTTGTCATTTGCATTAAGGATCCCTGATCGCGTTATTGTAGTTTGTTACCTTTTGTTATGGCTTTTTATTATTTGCGTTACATTTTTAGTGCAGATGTATCTAACTTTTACGTTGTTTCTATTGAATATTTTTGCGAAGTGGTTTGTTGCAGGGAAATGATTTTCTATTAAGTTTAGGAATGTCCTTCCTATGTTTGTTTTGACCGTTTTATTGACATAAACAGATCAAAAAATGTAAAAATAAATCAGTTTGTCTGACGATCACAATGGCGTGAAACCCAAGGTCACAAACTGACATCAATACAATATATATATATATATATATATATATATATATATATATATATATATATATATATATATATACACACACACACACACACACACATATATATATATATACAATGACTACAAAATTTAAAGCTACCACTATATATATATATATATATATATATATATATATATATATATATATATATATATATATATATATATATATATATATATATATATATATATATATATATGCTGAAGGGAAATACCAGTCAGCTAAGTGACAAAATTTTACTTATATATATATATATATATATATATATATATATATATATATATATATATATATATATATATTTATATATATATATATATATATATATATATATATATATATATATATATATATATATATAAAGTGTATAGATAAAAATGAGAATTATGGAAATGTAGATAGATAGATAGATAGATAGATAGATAGATAGATAGATAGATAGATATTTGCATATATGTGCACATACATAATATATGCACAAAGTTCGTTGTGTCGAGAATATATCTAAATGAATTAAAAAGATATATATACGTACAAAAACATAAAACATTATATTATTTCGTTTTATGAAGGTCCAGACTACCCTCTCACATGATTTGATTATAGTGGTGGAGGTCTGTGAAGAATCAACCACACTTTTAGAATAAGCCGAATATAGCATGCCACAATATACTCAAACATATCCTCCCCAGGATTTCAAATTCAGAATTGTCTTTCTCCGAAACCGGTTGCCACCCAAGGCTATAGGACAGAGTCTGTCTTTCTATTTACCCATAACCGTGATGAGAAAAGATGGATTCATACCATTCCCCAGGGTATTTGCACGTAAGCGAAGGATCTACTATCCATTACTCCACCTAGTCTCTGTATATATATATATATATATATATATATATATATATATAACACGCGCACATATATATACCCACAAAAACACAAATACACATGCACATACACACACACACAGATAGATAGATAGATAGATAGATAGATAGATAGATAGATAGATAGATAGATAGATAGATAGAAACAGACTGATAGATTTTAAAATTTATAATTTTATAATGAATTCTACCGAGCATTATTGTTGAACATTGAATTAAATTTAATTTAACCTATGAAGTTTTAATAGGACTATTATATCAGAAGCTATTAATCCAATTCAGATTATTATAGCAGTTTATATATATATATATATATATATATACATATATATATATATATAGATAGATAGATAGATAGATAGATAGATAGATAGATAGATAGATAGATAGATTACACATGAATGAATAAAGGAATAAATGAAATGTGTTTCTACACTTATAAGAATACCACCAATATTGAATAGAAGCAAATCGTAGATAACTATATGTTTCACACGCCATATCTTTTTTTGCTTGTTTTTACATTATTGGCTAGAATTATCCTTTAATAATGCGTAAGCGAAATTACTTTATCATAAATGGAGATTTATTGTCCTCTAATGAGTGACCGTTGACAACTAATCTGAGTAAAAACTTATTTTCGTGCTCATGAGAATTAAAATGTATTTTATGATTATTCGAATAACGAAAGAATCGAGCAGCAAAATACATAAGCAAATGAACTGCGAAGAACAATGTGCGTTGTGTCGAGAATGAAACAAGAAATTTAGCAACTGACCTGATACACACACACGCATATATATACGAATGTACGTACGTATGTGTGTTTAATGTGTGTATGTGCGTGTGTATTCATGTATGCATATTATACATTGTGAGTATTTAGGTAGCAAATGTTCTTTAAGGCAAATGTTATTAAAGACAACAGACGTTTTGTGCCGATTAATTTTATTGATCGACTTTTCAGAATAACGAATAATCCTTCTCAGATAAGGAGGAAAATCCGTCAGAAATGAACTTTGGACAATTTCTGGCCGAATTTCATTCTTATCTGAGAAGGATTATTCGTAATTTGGAAAAGTCAATCAATAAAATTAATAGACACAAAACGTCTGTTGTCTTTTTTTACACATATATATATATATATATATATATATATATATATATATATATATATATATATGTATAAAGACAAAGGAAGACTTATCTTAGCTTATGCGTTTCGTCCTCTGAGAGGCTTTTTCAAGGCAAATATGATAAATTCCCTCAAAGGACGAAACGCGTCGGCTAAGATAAGTTTTCCTTTTGTCTTCATTCATACTGTACTTTTACAGATATACTCTGAAATCATATATATATATATATATATATATATGTATATATATATATATATATATATATATATATATATATGATTTCAGATATATATACCTAGACTTTTCGACTAACCAAAATGTCAAAAACTAACATTTTTACTTTGGTATGTACATACTTGTTACAAAATAAAAATCCTCACATTGGCCTTGATAAAGTCCATCAGAGAACGGAACGCGTCAGCTAAGATAAATTTTCGTCTTGTCTTTATTCATATATGTCTATCTATCTATCTATCTATCTATCTATATATATATATATATATATATATATATATATATATATATATATATATATATATATAGATATAGATATAGATATAGATAGATATATATAATATTAGTGGTAAATATACATACATATGCAAAATATATAAATACCCATACATGTATATTTTTTGAATAAAAATTCCAAGAGGAAGAATCCAGGTAGAACTCAATGTCCAGGACAGAGTAAGGATATAATAAAAAGGCTTAAACACTAATATTCCATGGTCATAATTCCATTGGAATCGTAAATACGATCAATTCATCAGACCTACGGAATTTGTAGGTCTGATGATTTGGATCGTTTAAGCCTTTTTATTATATATATATATATATATATATATATATATATATATATATACTTCAAACGTTGTTATAGAGAATATTTCGCCTGAATTTTTGACATGAGCAGTTACCATTATTTACACTATTTGCATTAGGACTATTGTCCTCACCTTTGTTGTTGTTATAACGTTTCAGCCATTTTGCTCTCCCCCACCCACGCCTTCATCAGGTGTATGTCAAATCTGAATTCTGAACTGAACCCTTTATTTAACCTACCAGGATGGGTTGTTCTCCCTCAACTACTCATGTCTCGGAATATCTTAATTCTTATTTTTGTACTGCTCAGTTTTTGCTCACCCGTTTCTACTGAGTTTTGAATGTGGTGACATAGTAATTGCTAGTTCAATCTCTAAACTGGGCAGTGTGTACATGGATTAATACTAACTAAACTAAATATCACCCTAAACACACAATAATAATATATTTTGTGATGTAATTTTATTGTGTGTTTATGGTGATATGCAGGCAGCATACCTTCATTCAAGCAAGTTTGGTATAATAATCTAGACATACTATGTTTATTTTAGTTTAATCCTCTCAAGTTCACGTATCAATTTCTTAGTGTTGGTACAAAACGGATTAAGAAAGAGGCCATAATTATTCTTGTAGATTTTAGTTTTCAAAATACTTTCAATTTCATTCAAGATCAGCTTCAGCTGTGATTTGCTAAGACAAAGAATGTTGTGTATAAATGTGCTTGGTTAATTCTATAAAAAAAATCACCTCTATGTAAGGGAGGTAACTTAATCGATATTGTAAAAATCTTTATTAAAATTCTAATTACATGTTTTAAAACATTCTGTGGCAATTATAGTTTCTTTAACAATTACAATTTAGATATTTTAAAACTTTGTTGTCATAAACATTTTAGAAATTTGTTACTATACTCATAATTAATTAAATATATCTATTGTTAGTCACAATTTTTTACGACAACGTCCTTATCGAGGAGAATTACACTTTGTATGTCGGATTCTAGCTCGAACGCATAACATTTAAAAAAAACATTCATGTTCACATTCACGATTTAGAGAAATATTAATTGATAATACAAGTATACTCCACCACCAAAATCAAAAACAAAAACTTCAGTTTCTGTAAGCCCTTTATATAAAAAAATGATAAAATCCAAAGAATCTGCAGTATTATTGGTCCTGACCTGGCATTTCGGCTACAGTTACTTTCCACCACTATAAAGATTCTTCCCTGTACTTTTTATATAAATACTTTCATGATATTTGTTCGATGGTATCTAGTGTTTAAACGCAGTACTAGATTGGAGGCAAGGTCTCATAATTTTAAAGTTCTATGTTGACATAGACGTTGATGATTGTGAGTCACCACAGATTAATTTTCTTTATGACTTCTTCAGAAAAATAGTGAAATGTTTCCTCACTCCCTTGTTCACAGTTTTTCATTTTTCATTATTATGTAATAAAAAAATTCAGCTATTTTTCTTTTAGCAATGATTTTCATTTCTTCTCAAAGAGGTTTTGAAAAGATCACCTCTTTTAAACCTCTAGGTCATTGAATTTCTGGAAACCAAATTTGACCATTATTGTTTATTAATATAGTCGCAAAATTGCTTGGAAAAATCCCAACAAATTTTCTAAAAGCTTATCATCTATTCTTCAAATGACCATTTCTCCAGATTATGCAAATCAGGTCATTTTACTTCATTAAATATTCAAAATGTCTAACAAAATGACTGACTGAAAAGTACCTTTTCCAAATTTTAAGTTATCGCCATTACTACACTTGTACGTTATATATATTTGGTTGCAATGGTTTCAGCTATGACCAGGGATAAGTAATGATTCGCTAATCACTACAGTGTATAACAAATTTATTATAGGGGAAAAGGAAATTAAACATAGAATAGGTTGCGCTAGAGGTATTTTCGCACGACACCGTAAATTCTAAAAAAAAAAAACAAAAAAAAAACACATTAACCTGAAAACTCTAGTCATATTCTTAAAAGCCTTTTCAGCTCGAGACTTTTATATGGATATCATGCATGGCACCAAACCTATTCAGAAATATCTAAACTGTCAGTTGTATACAACTGTTTTCTAAGATCAATTGTTAAAAATGGTTTTACACAAATAAAGTCTTGGAAAGGATTACCCTTCTTTGAACTTTTTAGACGCTACAGAATCTCAAACAAAGAACTGACCAAATATGAAACCACATCACTAGAGGACTACCAGCAGCAATAACTAAAATGGATAGCACATGTAACTCAAAGTGAAAAATAATGGCATAATCAAGATGCTGACATTCCAAGAAGCATCAACACATGGAAATACAAACTTTTGAAAAGCCACAGGCAAAACTGGTTAAAGTAAAAAAAAAAAAAAAGTAAAAATATTTACAATTAAACGCCTTTATCCACTGCGAACATTGGATACAAGGCGTTGGTTAGATCCAGTGACAGGACCCAAAGAGTTGTGAGTTCAAAATCTCCTGAGCCGATCAAGCATATAAATGAATACAATATGAGAACAATTGATAAGGAGTGCCAGAGAAAAGCGATAATGACAACGAGAAAGTGAAATATGAGCTCTGGTAGAAAACATGCATTGATAACTGCAAAAAATTGCAATATGAGCACTGGTAAAAAATGATTGCTGAAGCCATTAGGTTTATAAGTCCCAGAAATTCATACACAGATGTCCTCAAGGACACATGGCACGCTGGATAAAGGCGTTAGTTAGATCCAGTGACAGGACCTAAAGAGTTATGAGTTCAATACCTGGTGTAGAGGTGAATTAACAGGAAATAACTGATAACTGACATCCATTAAAACATGGCATGTGGAACTGGAACAGTCTACCACAGAGAACGAAATAAAGGGTTCAGTTCGACATTCCAACCTCCTGAAGAAGGCCGGAGCGTACAACGACCGAAACGTTGTGATAAATATGTCAGCAAAGATGAGGACAATAGTCCGAATAATGTAAATAGTGTACATAATACCTCATCTCAGAAATATTGACAAATACCAAATTAGAAAAGGACTATAACATAGATATGCTGACATTCGTGGATGGTTTCACACCAAGAAAGGCAATAAAGCCACTAATGTGCAAAAAAAAATATTAAGGAGAGAGATCAATAAAAAAAAAACAACAATTAAAAAGGAAGTAGATAACGATTGACATTGTATTTACATTTTTGAAGATCAGTGTTAGCTAGGAAGCAAGAAACCAGAAGAGAGTTCTACAAGCGAGAAGTATAGCACATAATTTTTGGTTGCATTTAGCTATTTCAGGGGTAAAAAGACCTTGCCATCAGTTTAGTACTGCACTTAAATTTGTAAAGTCTATATACCATAGAGAAAAGCTCATCAGAACAATTACCATGAGCATATTTATAGAAAATGAACACGGAAGCTTCATTATGCCAGTGAGAAAGTGACTGAAGCCAAGATGCCAGGTCAGGA